CAGTGGTGCTGGACAGAAGGATTGAGGAGGTCAGGCAAGAGTCTTTGTGGACTATGATGTTTGCAGATGACACTGTGATCTGTAGTGACAGTTGGGAGCAGGTGGAAGAGAGCGTGAAGAGGTGGAGGTATGCTCTGGAGAGAAAAGGAGTGAATGTCAGTTGAAGTAAGACAGAATAAATGTGTGTGGGAAGATGAACGTGAAAGGTCATGAAGGAGGATGGGTTTAAATCCCTGGGGTCAAACATCCAAAGCAAATGGACAAAAGAGGTGAAGCCGAGAGTGCAGGCTGGGTGGAGTGGGTGGAAAGTCTGAGGGGTGATTTGTGATGTTACGATTTTCATTGACAGTGACCAGGATAGACAAGAGTAGAAATGACATCAGTTACATCAGTGGGACAGCTTTACAATGGACATGTGCAGAGGGGGGATAGTGGACATAGTGGACAATGGAAGTTGAAGATGGAGCTGCCAGAGAGGAGCAAAGGAGGAAGATCACACAAAAGTTTAATCGGTGCCTGTATTGCCCTAAGAAAAATCACACGACCAAGGCAAATTCATTACAATTTCTAATGAATCAGGAGGAGAGGAGACAATCTTTGGTTTTGGCTTGTTTATCCTTTACTACACAATGAAACTGCAGAGAAAAAACACATTTTCTCCAATCTGGTATCATCTGGGGTCCCAGTGGCCTAAAATGATTTTTTTTCTAATGTTGCTATTGAGTGACACGCCAACACTGTGTCAACACAGTAACAGGAATGTGACACTCTATAAGGTGTCATCTACCCATAACTAGAAGTCAAGCATGCAGAGGGTCAATGTGACTGTGGAGGATAACAGGTATATGCTGAGATGTCAGATGATCTGTTGTGGCTACTCTTCAAGGGTGCAGCCAAAACAGGACGATTTTAATTTTGCCATCAAGTCTTTATTAACCTTGATGTACATGCAGCTCATGGCTGTCAGTATTCAAATCCACCACACCTTGTTCTTAAAAATCGGTTACTGGGCAAACAGTCAAACAGCCAACTGACAAATATATCAAAGTTAAACAAAACTTCGAATACTAAAGTGAATTCTCAACTATTTGCTTCAAATAATCTATGTTCATTAGCTCTAATACCATTAAAATAATTGTTGCTCATTTTTTCAATTTAGGTAATGCTGCTGTCTGTGAATCAGCAAACACAAATGGAAGACACTGGAGATGGTAAAGTATATATTTTGAATTTCAAACAGCAGATAGACATGTGGAGGCTTTTTGATTGAAGGATTTCAGGCTTTAGAGTATTTCGCTCATCACAGCGTCCTTAAACCTGAGAAATATGCCTAATAATAAGGTTTCAGGTCCAGATGGATTTCCAGCAGAATTCTGAACACTTCTGCACCATTATTCCACAGAATGTTGCAGGAAATCAAGGAAAATACGAATTCAGCCAACATCAGTCTCCTGCTAAAACCATGGAAAGATGATATATTTCCCACCTTACTAATATTGATCTTAAAATAATCTGTAAAGCTCTCGCAGTAACAGCCAGACCCTTTTGAGGGTTATCTTGTACGGGGAAACTCACTACAAAAGAGAAGATGACCATGTCTCCTACAGAAAACTTTTCACTGGAGACAGAGGTTAAAGCAGGTTTCATGGTCAGAAGAGCTGTTTATGTTGTTTGTTTCATGGATGACTTACCTGCCATTTTCCCAGTTAGACTGTGGAGAATACACATTCAGGCTGGATCTCTGCCATTTTACTGTGGTCAAATGTGCTGGAGCTGTGTGGAGTTTTGGAAAATGGAAGATTTTTTTTTCTTTTTTTTAAACTTGTTAGCTTAGCACTGATGATAATGTTGCCCTCTTTGAGTTGCTTGCAAACATTTTCCCTCTCCATCTGTCAGCACACACAACACAGGACTGTGGACATCGACCTTTCGTCCACTTTCTCCGAGCCAGCTGGAAAACATAATCTTATTTAAATAATAATCGTATAAACTACGAATGTAAATTCACTTTACTTGATCTCATTTTATCATTGCTGACAAAAGGTGTGCTGAATGTCTCGAGTCATTTCCTGTCACCCACATGAATGTCCGTTTAAGAAACAAACCCGGTATTAGTAACAATGATTTTGGCATTAGAGAATTAATCCTCAAATGGTTTCACCAGAATACTGCTCTCCTACACGTGACATGTGGATTTATTTGTCACGCATGCAAAGGGTGGAGAAAGCTGGTTTGGGTGGATCCAGAAACTTTCTAATGTCAAGCATGTGTGTCACTGTCATAAACTGAGATGCTGAATTGACCCTTGTATATTGTTCATATTTCATGTCTTCACGGTCAGGATCAGCTTTGGCTATTTATTCACTCATAATAAGGGTTCATACCAAATTTTGAACTATAAACTATTTAAAATGTGTAGCTAGCTTATGTGATATTAATAAACATAAGATTAATCCCTAATTAAAGTTTCAGAAAGCAGGCTGCATGAATTTTTAAGTTTTTTTATTTTTTATACATTATATTCATATTTATTTCATTTTGGAGAAAAAGAAAACATAGGTTATCAGATTTAAATATAATTTATTAAAAGTGAAGATAGCAAGAGTATTCTTTGGGATGAAATGTTATGAAATGAAATAAAAACATGAGATTTCATAGAATAATCCTTATAATTTGTATTAGTGCAACATTAATAAGCACTTAAAACACAAAACCTGCTTAATGCAAACTAGTCTGTGCTTTCACAGCAGTGGTAGGAAACCTTGCAGGTGAGGGACTTGAACATGTGTTTTCCATAACCACTGAAATGGCTGCTTAGATAGCTTTTATACTCCCTGTATAAGGGCATTTGAAGCTTATTGTGAACTTGATTTAAAACACTGATTCTCACAACAGCCTCTCTTAGCTCTCCAGCATTTACATGGAATTGATGAACAGATGTGTTCAAACCAGGGTCGTTTTTAGCCCATTTCAAAATAAATCAAAGCATCACCAAAGATTTCTTACTTTTTTATACAATATTTGCTGTTTATGTGACACACTACTAAAAATATAAAAAACATACAGTACTTGGTTGAGATGTAATATTTTAACAACTAAAGTATAGATATGCCCCTCCCCCCTCCAAAAAACGATTTGTTCCAGCTCGCCTCGCCCCTACTCCGGCCCTGGTGCCCTTTCTGCTAGAGCGATGTTGGATACCCTACTCTGCAGTAAAATCATTCAACCGTCCCGTTGCTTCCATTGAAATTTTTAGAGCCTATTTAAAATAAAAAAACTTAAAATTGTCCATAGCCTACTGTTGTTACCACTGTCCTGTTTGAAATGGGATGAGAGAAGCTGCTTATTTTAAAGCATAAAGCCAAGGTACTAACTAGCTAACTGACTGGATGCCCATTAACCTTATACATCCTGTTGTGTATGTGTGTACAGAGAGACAGCCAGGTTTATTTTTTATTTTTCAAAAAAAGAAGCCACATTCAGGTAAAAGTGTAAGAACAAATGATCCGTCAATCGAAATAATGTTGGATCAGTGTTTCAATATTTATATCTTTTATTAGATGTGCATATAGTTCGGTTATTTGCCTTTTGGTTGAAAATACACCGAGAGAGGACTTTTTATTACTGATCTTAATGGTATTTTTTCATATTAATGCAGTTTAATCTAATTGAATACAATCTATTTGTGTATGATTGTCAGTCCAAAGAGGGAGAGAGGAAAGAGG